CCTACTGTCTAGTCCATGTTTATCCATCTTATCTAAGAACCTTGTCAAACACTTTGCTGATTTCCAAGTACCCTCTATCTATTAAGGTTGAAAAAGAGATAAGGTTAGTTTGATATGACTTCTTGTCAATCCAAACTAGCTCCCAATAATGATAACATTTTTTCCTAAGTACTCCAATCTGTTTTCTTCTCTTACACAGATTAAGGTAAATGTTTTGTCATTCTCCAGTCCTTCTTCTCATATATGAGTACTGCAATGATGCTTGCTCTTTTCCAGTTGTCTGGAACCTTACTAGTTGTCCAAGAGTTTTCAAGATGTAGTTCCATTGAGAACTGTACATATGTGAAAGGTGATGTTTTCCATTGTCTAACTCATCCTATCTAGGGTTGCAATAATAAGTTGGTTAACTTTTTAAACATTTATTTTATCAACTAAAAACATGATTCAGATTATCTGGATAATCTTTGATAAACAAGGCAAATTTCCTATCAACATTCCGCGTGCATAGAAAACATACCCATTGTGCTGCTCCCTTTTCAGGAAATTGGTGTTGAAATTACCCTCATTCTTCTGCACTTGAGGATCTGTTGGCCATACCGAGGCTGTAGGATGTGAAGTTTACCTAATGTATATTTTTGGCCATCACTTTCCCTGTTCTTTGTTTAAGAAATTGCAAAACTGAGGTCATATCCTTCTACCTTTGTTCACAGGCAGGCAGTTATAGTCGTCCTTCTGATTCTCTTCCTGATAAAATGAGGTTAAGCCAAATGCTAGGTGTAGTCTACCTTCATAATGTAAATAAATCTCCTTTCTGCTATTATTATAACATTTTTTTCTGTATTCTTTGCTCAAGTGAGATTCCCGCTGCTAGGAATGCTCACACTCAGAACATTCCACCTTCCAACCATACAAAGCTCAGAAAATGAGTAAGAAATAATTTTAAAATATTCCTAAATAAAAATAATAATTTTTAAATTATTAAATATAAAAAATTCCTAAGACAAGAAAAAGAAAAGGAATCAGTTAAAGTTTAAATGAGCAATCATTCATTCTCTTTTACGTTTCTGCCGCAACAGACTTGAGGTCCTTGAGACATTAATTGTGACGTCCATATAGGTAGTCCTTGACTTACAACCATTCATTTAGCAATTGTTCAAAGTTACAGTGGCTCTGAAAAAAAGACTAATAACTGGTACTTATAACTCTCCTAGCATCCCCATAATATTTTTTTGTCTTTTAATGACCCCATAATCCCTTACATTGGGGTGGAGTCGGGACAACTGAATGGAGCTGAGTGTTTACTGGCTGGATGCCCTTCCTTTCGCCAATGCAGAGTTCACAGCAGATAATAACTCATTGTGTCCAGAGAGAGAAATATCTGCTGCTACCTCGGATTGAACTCACAGCCTCCTGATCGTGAGACTACTGCACTCCCCTCCCCCTCTCTGTGTTTGTGTTTGTGTGTTTGTATTTATATATAAATATATATCATCCCCATAATTATGTGGTCAAAATTTGGGTGTTTGGCAACCTGCAGGGATTGCAGCATCCCAGGGCCATGGTCATTGCTATCTGCAACTTTCCCAGTCAGCTTCTGGCAAGCGAAGCCAATGGGGCAAGCTAGAATCACTTAATGAAATATGATTCACCTAACAACTACAGTGATTTGCTGAATAATCGTGGCAAACGAGATTGTAAAATTGGGCATGACTTACTTAGCAACCACCTTGCTTAGCAATGGAAATTGTGGGCCAAAAGGTGGTGGAAAACGAAGGGTCCCCAACCCCAGGTCTGTGGATCAGCCCCGGGCTGCGGCATGCCAGAAACTGGGCTGCAAAAACAAGCAAAGCTCTATCCATGGGATTTAGGCAGCATGCAAAACCTTCCGATCCAGAGGAAAAACCTTTTCTCAATGGAACCGGTCCCTGGTGTCCCAAAGGGTGGGGGCCACTGTCGTAAACTGAGGACTACCTGTACTGCTCACAGGATCTATCTAGCACAGGGGTGTCAAACTGGATTTATTTGATGGCCAGATCAGCATTGCAGTTCTCCACAGGCTGGCCGGAATGGGGTGTGGGAAGCAGGGGAGATGGGACGGATGCCTCCTGTGGCATCCTGCCAGCCAAAATGGGGCCCCGCAACCCCCCTTGCCCCATTTTTGCCTGGCAGAGTGCTACAGAAGGCCATTCAGGTCAAAAATGGAGTGTGGAACACACAAATACTCCCGCACAGCCCTTGTTTTGGCTGCCAGAGATACTGCAGACCGGTCCTTTGTATTTCCAGGCTGGCCCCGCAGGCCAGATTTAAGCTCCCCAGATTTAAGCTCTGGCCTGCGGGCCTTGAGTTTGACACCCCGATCCAGCAGGTCTCAGCAACATGACATAACCTGCGTACAAAAGTACACGGGTTTTACCTCCCCATCCAACGCCCCTCTAATGTCACCATAAGCCTTCCGTTTATTCTTATCCAGCTCTTCAACTTCACATTGCCGAAACAAAACCTGATTATCCTCATGCAAAAACCTACACACAGGGTAGGAAGCTACAGTCTGGATAGAAGAAAGTGAAACAGGCTGGCTCCAGGCCAGCAAAGGAGTGCGAGGAGGCTCTAATACTCTTCCCTTATCTGTATGCTGAATATATATTGAAAAAAGCTGAGTTAGAAGGAATCGCAGAATCATAGAGCTGAGTGTGATTTTAAAACTGACATTGATTATTGGTGCTGTGCTGGCTGGGGAATTCTGGGAATTGAAGTCCACACATCTTAAAGCTGCTGGCATTGAGAAACACTGTTCTATGGTATACAGTTGTCCCTTCTTCCTCGCACATTCCTCTTCTATGTTTGTGCCCTGTCATCGTGGCTATTTTTGGACATAACTTTAAAACATTCAGAAGCAATTTACTTGGACAACTTGACTGATGGCTAAGCCGGCCATTCTAAGTACCCTTCTCCTCTTGCCCATTCCTATCCCACTCCAAATTAAAGACAGTGATTGATGGCTGTTCTTCCTGCTAGTAGATGACGCTCACTAAGGAGGGGAAATGATGCCAGGGAGCCCCCTAAATTTGTCCCTCATTTAAAAGAGTAAGGGCAGCACCATTCCCTGGCTTGTTACTCTGCTGTGAGGCCAGAGTAAGAGTAACATACTTATGTGCCAGCTCAGACTGGAGCATATGATTTTAATCTGGCTGTGCCTCTGTTGCACCCATACCACATGCAGGCAATCCTGGGCTTACAACAGTTCATTTTGCGACTGTTCAAAGTTGCAATGTCTTTGGAGAAAAAGTGACTTGTGACTATTTTCACACTTATGGCCGTTGCAGCATCCCCATGGTCACGTGATCAAAATTCGGCTGCTTGGCAACTGACTCATATTTATTATGACAGTTGCAGTGTCCTGGGGTCATGTGAGCTCCTTTTGGGACCTTCGGACAAGCAACGTCCAATGGGGGAAACCAGATTCACTTCATAACTGTTACTGACTTCAGAACTGCGGCAAGAAAGGTTGTAAAACGGGGCAAAATTCACTTAACAATTGTCTCGCTTAGCAATAGAAATTTTGGGCTGAGTTGTGGTCATAAGTCCAGGACTACCAGTAGAACACTCCCCACTAATGATAAAGTTTATTGGTAGATGAGAATATTTATAACTCAGGTTTGAACTCTGGAATTCTTAGGCCAGATTACTTACTTTCAGACGTTTTATTACCCAACTTGGTAAAAACTTCTTTGCTAAAGGAAAGTGGGATTTGCTCTCTGTTTATATATAGTAGTTTGCCCTATCAGTGTTGGTGGGATTTTTGCTTACTTTGGATATATCCTTGATTAGTTTACTATTGAATTGTCCGTGTTGGTAGTTCCCTGATTTGGAAGTTGTTTACTGCTTGATTGTATGTCTGGTATTAATCCTAGTGTTAATCCCTGCTTATCTGTGTGTTGATTGATGGCAAGGAGGTGTCCTAGCCTGGTTTTTTTTTTTTTTGCTTCCTGCTTAGCTTTTTCCTTGTCTCTTTTGAATGCTGTGTAAATGTTATTAGTGGTGTGTAAATGTTTACATTTGCTGGTTGCTGACATTCTGATGGCACCTAGAGATAAACAACTTTTTACATTGTTCAAAAGAAACAAGGAAAAAGCTAACAAGGAACAAAAAGACCTGAATACCTATGTATAAACACTAGGAACTTCCACAGTAAGGACTATATTCCCTTTGAGAGCTATATGCAACGTGATTTCATTTTAATATATGCCGATTAATGTACATTCAAAGTGACAATAAAGCTATTCTATTCTATTCTATTCTATTCTATTCTATTCTATTCTATTCTATTCTATTCTATTCTATTCTATTCTATTCTATTC